ATCTTCATTTTTCTTGAAAGCTAAATGGATGAAAGTCAGGATTTCTCCACAAAGGGTTTGGACATTTTAGGACAAAGTCTGAATGAGATTCTGCACATGCTCCAAGAAGGGTTTAGATGATAGGATCTAGTATATGCATATGGATGGCAAAAAATCGTTGGATATCTACAAACTCTTTGAATTGTCCTTTGAACCGAAGTCCATTAGACAAAATTCTAAGTTTGGGAATCTGGGTCAGAATATCTTATCTAATGATGATATCTTTGTCTGGTGTACTAGAACCAAGGATTTTAGTGGTGAGGGAACACTGTGGGAAGAACTGAAGGGTAATGAGTTTGCTTCGAACTCTTGTAGCGAAAGTGTCTCCAGAAGTAGAATTAAAATACCGGGTGTATGAAGTCCAGTATTCTTTTGGAAGAATTTTCGTGTCAAGAATCGAAGCACTGGCTCTAGTATCTATAAGGGCTATAAGAGAAATGGGTTGAGCATATTTTGAAAGATAGATTTTGATGGGAAAATAGGGAAGGGTGAAAGGAGTGTATGCACAAAGGTCTTGGATCGTGGGAAGTTTTGGATTTTCGGAAAAAAGGAGTAAACTCCCTTTTCTATTTTGTCAAATGAGTCTTCAGAGTCACTGGACTGGGACCATGTCTGGATGGCGCATATAGTGTGCATTATTGGTTCATCTTCTAAGGAGCAGACGGATTCAACACCATCATCCTGAAGAGAAATCCCAATTTCTTTTTCAAGCTTTTGGATTAAATGAAAATTTCTTTTCTGGGCCTTCGGACAATTCTTTGCAAAGTGACCTTTTTTGTTGCAGATATAACACCTCTCGATTTCTTACGTCTTCCAGACTGGTCGCGTTTGGAGTGCCTTCTTCTCAAGAATCGCCATTTCCATTTTCTTCTTAGACCGAGGGAGAAGCATTTAAAGTACTTTTTCTTTTTACACCGATTTCCGCAAGAAGGGTCATCACATGACTCTTTATTTGCACACTTGATTCTCAACTCTAGCGGGGGAAGAACAGCATTGGTGCCAAAAGTTGTGTACGGAGCTCACTTTGGTGTCAAAAGTTTCATTTGGATCATTTAAGTACCAAAAATTTTGAAAAACGATCACTTAAGTGTCACTTCGCCGGAAATCCGACGTGGCATTTTTTTATTAAATTCTCGAGCTGATATGGCTTGCTGGAGGCTGATGTGGCATTTCTTTTCTTTTTTTTTTTTCCTTTCTTTTCTTTTTTTCTTTTCTTTCTTCTTATTTCCGATGGTCGGCGTCCGGCCACCGGCCATGGCCGGCCTCGCCGGGCGTCGCCTTCCTCCGGGCGAGGGCCGGCGAGGCCGCGTGGCCTCGGCGAGGGCTGGCCTCGCCGGATCTGGTGAGGCGAGCCCTCGCCGGGGCTCGCCTCAACCCTCGCCTGGGCAGGGCGAGCTCCGGCGAGGGCTCGCCTTGCTAGATCCGGCGAGGTCGGCCCTCGCTGAGGCCACGGCGGCCTCGCTGGCCCTCGCCCGGAGGAAGGCGACGCCCGGCGAGGCCGGCCATGGCCGGTGGCTGGCCTCCGGCCACCGGCCATGGTAGAAGAAAAAGAAAAGAAAAAAGAAAAGAAAGAAAAAAAAAAAATCAGAAAAAAATATTTAAAAAATTGAATTATACACATGGAAATGCCACGTGTCATTAAAATTTAAATATAAAAGCCACGTATTAAATTTGGTCGTAATTTCTCGCCGTTGGCACTTAAGTAATTGTTTTTTCTCCGATTTGGCACTTAAGTGATCGCCGGCGTAAACTTTTGGCACTTAAGTGATTCAAATGAAACTTTTGGCACCAAAGTGAGCTCCGTACACAATTTTTGGCATCAATGCTATTCTTCCCCCCAACTCTAGCCTTTGGCAAGCTTGATGAAGCTCTTTATTGCTCTTAAGATAACTTCTGAATGCCTTTCGACGGATACAGAGGTCATCAAGAGCCAAATGTATTTCTTGTTGCAGTTCTCCTATCGGGACATCAGCAATTCTTCGCTGCTTATTTTGAAAAGATATTTCCACAACTTGACCAATATCCTTGGAATAGAAGACAAAAACACGTGCTTTAGGTTTGGATCAGCTCCAAAGGCATATAATAATTTAAGCATTGCATGGATTTGAAACTATGTGGGAAGGAGGAGGTTTCTGAGAAGGCTTGGGAACATCTGCCTTCTTCTCCTGCTGCATCTTCTTTTGTGTTTCCATTTCGCGGATACAAACTCCGACCTTCTTTTGAGGCTTCCGCAATGATTAAGGCAACTGAAGTGACTTTTGGAGGAGAGATTTCCATCCGGATTGGATACAAAGGTTGAGAAAATGGATCCAGTGCATGAACAAATTTTCCTTCCTAGAAGAGTTTAATTTGCCTACGTAGCTTTTCCATCTCAGCAATCTGGTCTTCCAAATAATGATGGGAAATATATTTACCTAATTCCATCTGCTGCAATTTTTTCTGGAACACCTCAAGCAATTTGTTTGTGATTGAAGCCGTTTGATCAACTTTCTGGTCAACATGATCAAGACGGGCTTGGACAGTTGAAAGTTTTGTATCAATTGTCTTAAGAACATTATTTTGCGCTAGAGCATTTTCTAACTGCCAATTTAGAACAGTTTCGGCGGCAGTAACTTTCTTTTGTCTCCCATGATCATCGATATCTGTAGGGTTTGGAATTTTTGACATATGTTGGAACCGATGATGTGCGTCTGTAAATTCTTCTAACACCGGGAAAGGGGCACTAGATGGAAATCTGGTAGAGACTATCTTTGGACCGTTTCTTTTTCTTTTTGGATGGTCTATCATCTTCATCATCAGGAGGGCTTGTACAAAGGGAACATTGACAATCAAGATCCCAGAAACAGTGGCCTGTTCGAGGATCCTTGTAATAATGAATGGGTCGTCCCTCTTGATTAAAAGACTCGATCATAGTCTTTGAATCTGAGTCGCCTTCATCCATTGGAACATCGGCATGACAGGGTTACATCATAAGAATAGTAGGAAAAATAGAAGAAGCAGCTTCCTCCTTTCCTTACTAAATTTAATGATGACCGTACCATCTTTCTTTTTTGTGAACTGGAATTCCATGGACTGGATAGGCTTGGAATTCTTGTAGAGCTTTTCATAGTTAGTTACCCAAGTGTTAGGGAGTAACTTAACTAGTTGATTTCGAGGAATTTGTCTGGATACATGGACGCAGGAAGTCTGATCATTGTCCACTGAGATAAAAAAAGGCGTCCTCTGTGCCTGGAAAGTTGAGATCAATAGCATGGTTCTGGACCCGGTATACCATCTGGTAGTGTAAAGTTGCAGCTATAGAATCAGGAGTCTGAGGAGCTCCGGTGAGCTGTAGCTAAACTTTAAGAGCAGAAAAGAGTTTTGGATCCGAAAAGGCTATGTTAAAATTTGAAAGCAGTGTAACAAACACTGTTCCGGCATTTAGAGTGGTTTGGATTGTACCAATGCAGGCATGTTGGTAATCCAAGAAACGAGTATCTAAAAAGGCCATGCGAGCAACAACAGGTAATCCTTTTCGGCCATGGAAAGAGAGAGCAAGGCGGATAGCACTAAAGTAGAGATGCGTATACCCTTGCTATACCCACTGATGTGGAAAGTTAGAAAGTATCTGGAGGGTAACGAAATGTTCTTGCTAAGTAGCAGGAATAGGATGCTGGTCAAACCGGGATGACTGGACATATTCTTTAACTTCTCGGGGTGTGTGTTTGATGAGTTGTTTGATGGAACGGAGAGAAAAAAAAGAAGGTGGTTTGGCGAAAACAGAGTAGGGATTAATAAGGGAGAGATGAGTTTCCGAAATCTTACTATCTTCATTAAGGTATGAAACCTCATAAAGATAGTCAATTTTAGAAACATTTGAAATACGAACATCTAAAAGAGCATTTACATTGACTGGTGGAGTAGAATCGGTAGAATCACTCATGATGGGACAAATCTACCTTTTCCACCTGGTATTTCATCTAAAAACAAACAAGTAGGCTGAATAGAACGCTGGCTCTGATACCAAAAAGAGGGACTAAGATGCAAATCAGGGAAGACGAAGACAAGACTTGTGGCAGGTATGCTAAGGATTATCCTTTTCACGTTCAAAGGATCGCCGGAGAGAATTACAAGCTCTTTCTGCACTGGTAAAGCTTGGAGTGATCATGATTAGCGTGGTTAATCCTCATCCCACTGTGGAGGTTCAACGCCAAGGCCAAGCTCTACAAAGAAGTTTCGCTCTCCTACCTATTCCTCACTAGTGATATGAAATGGTGGAAAAGGCGAGACTGATGAACCTCAAGTATGTGAGGCACATGAGAAAGGTGAGGCAATATGAATCGAGCTATGTGGCCGCAACGTAGAGTAAGCTCCTCTCGTTGCTGCCGGAGGCGGCGTTCGAAAAGATGATCGCGATCGAGAGGTGGCAAGGGCGTGCCTCCGGAGTTCGACGCAGCGTTTGAGGAGGAGCACCGGAAACAGATGCCATGGACCATGCCGGACAAGAAGCCAAGGGAGGAGATCAAGCTGTCCCTTGTGTTGGCATAGGGGTGGTTCTACCAGACGTGCCAAGAATTTTGTCAGGGGCGATGGCGAGGTAGAGAGAAAGCTTGTGAGGTTCTATAAGACCGTGCAAGAGAAAGCTTGTGAGGTTCTATAAGACCGTGCAGCTGTTGGTGTGCGTGGAGGTCTCGGAGGAGGAAGATGAGGACGCACCGGTGATACGCATCAACACAATCGACAACAAGACGAAGTAAAGTGAAACAATAACAAAGGAAACAAATGAAAAAGAAAGACCTCAAATGGGCCTCACATTTGACTACGTGAGATAAAGCATTCTAAGATGGAAAAAAGTGAGGGGTAATATACTTACTATACATGCGAAAGGCCCTTAAAAAAACAAAATCCCGCGTTAATCGACTGGTGGTGCAGTACTATATTGCCGGAAACGGTTATTCACAGATAAAAGCGCCGGGTACCATTTGAAGCAACGAGTCGCAGTCACGCCCTCCGTGCAGTGCTGCGACCCAATTACTCCCAGCGCTTTCTCGCTCGTATGCACATCCTCCTCACTCACCTTCTTCTTCTTCTTACCATCCTGAGCTTCCTCTGCCATCTCGATCCTCCGTTCCCGCTTTCCAAACCATGGAGAGCAAGCCCATCTTCGTGGTGGAAGAGAGGAAAGAGCTCATGCTCTCCCCGAACGGAGGCGCCGACCCGGCTCCGAGAACGAGCCACTTCCTCAAACCCTCCGCGGCGGAGCCCGAGACCCACCCGCCTCCGCCCGTCCCGACCCCGCCGCCGCCGGAGAGCTTGCCGATCAGCGTCAGGTTGGACAACTGGCGCCGCCCGACCAAGAGGTGGACCGCGTGGGTCGATCGCATGGAGTCCGCGCACGAGCCCACGTGGAGGAGAGCCGGTATTTACGACGCCATCAAGTGTTCGACGTTCTCGATCCGGAAGCACCCTGGCTTGGTCCTCGGGCTCGCTCAACGTTGGTGTCCCGACACGAACACATTCGTTTTCCCCTGGGGCGAGGCCACCATCACGCTGGAGGACGTGATGGTCCTAGGGGGTTACTCGGTCTGGGGATCCTCCCCTGTTTCGAGCCATCTCGGGAGCCACTCGGGGGAGGTCCAGGCGAAGCTGGAGCGAGCGAGGTCGGAGATGACGAAGACCCCGGCAAACGTGGCGGACAGCTGCAAGTGGATGGAGAAGTTTAGGGACACCGGGAGCGACGTTGAGCACGAGGTCTTCCTCGCGTTCTGGCTGTCGAGGTTTGTATTCGCGGGCTCTTCCGACGTGATCACCGCGAGTGTACGGCAGATGGCGATAGGTCTGGCTAGAGGCGTGAGGATTGCACTTGCGCCCGCTGTTTTAGCTAGTATTTATAGAGATTTAAGTTGGCTGAAGATTGTTTTAGATGGGCTAGTTCCAGGGATGAAGGATGGAAATGAAGGGAAAGAGATTTATGTAAAAGTGTCGGCGCCGTTTGCTTTGGTTCAGGTATGGGCCTGGGAGAGATTTGCGACCACCATCAGGCCAAATCGTAGAGAGGTTCAGCCTGGGGAGCCTAGGTTGGGTCGATGGCACAAATCGAAAAAATTGAACCTTCAAAATGTGCATTCCATGATGGGCGAAGCCGGAGTACATTTTAATTGGCGTCCCTACAGCTTGGCCGTGAATGACTTGGCGTCCTATGCATTTTATGGCGAGAAAGAGAACTGGGTGTCGCTGGAGGAGGACGCCAATGCGGAACTGAGGTCATTCGCTCACTGCTTGATGGCTTGTGAGTTGCCCGGGCTGGATATTGTCGAGAAGTATTCGCCTCATCGAGTGGCCATGCAATTCGGGATGGATCAAGATATGCCAGGTCGGGTTGCCCCCTGCAACCAGGACCCTGAGATTGCTTGGGACAACTACAGTAAGTCAATCCAAGGTGCGCAGTTGTACATTCCAGCGAGGCTTTACAAACCGTGCGTAACAGCTCGCTATGCTGAGTGGTGGACTTCAAGGAGTTCAGATAGATCAATGCAGGGATTAAAAGGAAGGTCGGTAGTTAATGATGACCCAGTTCCTCCCGGTTTTCGGCTGAAAAGCGTTAGTGTGGACACAGCCGACTCCAGTGAAGATGATGATGGGCTAACTTTGGGAGAATTTTTTAGGTCCATTAAGCGAAGTAGAGCTACCGGGAGCTGCTCGGTTGGTCTCGGCAACAAATGCTTGCAGAATGATCAAATGCAAAGTTCCTTCTTACAGAATGTGGGTAGAGGAGACACTGACATCGAAACGAGAGCGTCACCAATGGAACCTGTCGTGAGGAATAGGCCCCACGATACTGCTCCTGGAGGAGCTCAAAGAGACGATGAGGAAGGCACTAATGGAATAGGGCAGAGAGTTACTGACGGAGGTTTAGCCGATGAAACTGCGGGAGAAAGCAGTGAGCGTTTAACGTGTGAAATGCTAGTGGCAGATCTCGAAGTTCGGATTAGCAAGTTGGAGAGAGCAGTTGCTGAGCGAAAAGCTCGGATTACCAAATGAAAGTCACTCTGAAGAATTCGAACTGTGATGCTTTCTATAAATTTCTACTGTCCTTCCATGTCTGTAGTATTCAACTAGATCTCTTTTTTGTTAATGCTCTAGACTATCATTTCTTTTCCTTCCCTTCTTATTCTATTTCATTTCATTTTTGCTTTTTGGGAGGTTCGCAGAGATTGATCTCAATGCTTTGTGAATGTTTAGATTGCTTGTTCGGTTGATTATTTAGCTTGTGTGAGAAGTGGCAATGCTTTGTGGCTGATTTTAGTGTCATGTATCTGATGCAGTGGACAAGACTTCATTTTTTGTGAATGTGTGAAAATGAATTTAAAAGTTCCAGAAAATCCGAATGAATAGCCATCAGCTTTTTAACAACCATCATCTATCAAAAACTGGCAGGAGTAATGCCTGCTGAGGATATCCCCTGCACAACGATGTTAAAGTATTTTCCAGGGTCAAAAGGTTATTTTTCCTGGGAATATGTCCTAGATCTTGTATCATTCTGCTTTCCATTATGTCGAAGACTAGAATCAAAGCCTGTGATTATTGTATCTGGTTCTGAAAGATGCCGTTTTTTGACAAAGATCATCCTGATACGGAAATGTCTTGAGAATGAAAATTTCTTGATTCTTCTCATTTCAAATGATACAGAGTCGACTTGTGCAGCAGTTTTTGTTTCAATTGAGCTAGCTCACCTGTTAAGTCTCGCCAAATTACAAAAAGAAAAAACAGAGCTATACCGTTAATAGTTGATTCCCTTGCAATTTTGACGGGAATTCTCATATTGAAAACTTTCACTCAAAAGGAATGGTACAAGTGCTTTTGCTCCTCATGCAATATCAAGTCAAAAAGGGTACTGTTGCTCATTTGGGTTGATCAGATTGCAGAACGTCATATTGCAGATCACTGATTTGGAGAAAAGGGTAATTGGAAAACTCAATTGCACCATTCGTTCTCCATCCTAGCTGAGGATTTGTTCCACAAGAAATGAGATTATTTAAAAGTGGAACAACAAAGCCAATTAACCTTTTCGAGCTCTCTCTGGCTAGTTCAAATGGAATGGCCTGAGAGAGTAGGCTTGTGTTGTGCCCTGAGATCTGATGTACAATTTAAAATTGCATGAGTTTATTATTAGGAGGGAAGAGGTCCAGAAAAGAAACATGCTAAATTTGATAAACAAAAGATCAGGCACAGAGAGGGAGGCAGCTAAGCAAACGTGTGTACCTGTCTCTCTTTTCTTAATTTTAGCAAATTGCAGTTATAATAGGGTCTCTCTCATTCTCTGCGAACTCCATGGGTGGAGAGAGCATTGCAGGGAAAGATGATCTAAGTAAACATTTTTCTGCATTCTTGTGTTTTCTCAGAGATCTTAAAAAAAAAAAAAAAAGATTCTGGTTCCTTCTAGGGGTAAAAGAAAATGCTTCTTTTGTCTTTGTTTCTCACTGAAATAGTACTGTTCTCGGATTATGAGCAGTTGTAGGATAGGATCTTTTTATTTTTTTTGGGGGTGGGGTTTGAGATCTATTATGATTACAAATTCGGTGTGATCGGTCCATCATCAAAAGATATTGTTTCTGGGTTTTTGATGGTGGCTGTATCCGAGTACTTGGGGATTGAAAGCGCTAGAAGGAGGAGAAAATGAGCTGTTTCCAATGTTGCATGTCCGAAAGAAGACTCGCCCGAAAATCATTGAAGAAGAGCATTCAAGAATACCACGACACAAAGACTTTAGCCTCATTCGCCAACATTTCCTTCAAATCAGGTAACAATCTCACATCAGTTGTCGCTGAATGATCCTTCGGTCCAGGCCTGTCTTTGTTCGAATATGATATAACAAATACTTGTCATTGATGATTCTGCATTTTCTCTTCGTGAAATATGTCCATGAATCGACAGAATAAAACATGCCTGTAAAGATACTTTCAATATAATCCAACTACAATTGAACATCAGATTAAGCTCTTCTCGAAGGCCAATTGCGAAATTCTGGAGGCTCTACTCATGTTGCATTATATCTTCGTGCCTTCAAATTTAAGCGTTTTTTCAGTTCCTACCATGTTTGTAGGCACATATACAGTGATATCTCCTTGAATGGCTTGAAGAATCTTGGTAGTCGCGTCATAGTCTCTGAATCAAATCACGAGTCTGAGTTCTTCATTTATAAATTCTATGGATCATGAAAAGCTAGTGTTAACCTAGCAGAGAGAGAGAGAGAGAGAGAGAGAGATGTAGGATTAAGGAAGTCAATCACCATCTTTGACCATGTCTTACAATTTTAGATTGTCCTGAAAGTTTTTGTCACGAACACAAGTGATGCGAATGCTTGATGATATTAGGTAACATAAACTTCTGGCTTCTAAACTAAAGGCAATGCTTCGCAAAACTGATCGAGAAAAAATTTCCCTGAATGCAGATAGCAGCAGGCGCAGATACATCACCGAAGAAATAAAAAAAATCGGAAAAGGGAATATCGCAGCTCAGATATTTACATTCAGGGAGCTGTGTGTTGCAACAAAGAATTTCAACCCCGATTCTCTAATCGGCGAAGGCGGTTTCGGGAGAGTGTACAAAGGACATATAGAGAGCAAAAATCAAGTAATGACGTGAAATATCTCCCTCCCTTTTGTGTCTTGTCTTGTTGCTAAAAAAACTGAATTAACAGTTAATACGCACCGCCGTGCGTCGAGCATTACTTATCAGGTGGTTGCCGTTAAGCAACTCGACCGGAATGGGTTTCAAGGGAATAGGGAGTTCCTTGTGGAGGTCTTGATGTTGAGTCTGCTACACCATCCTAACCTTGTCAATTTGGTTGGATATTGTGCTGACGGAGATCAGAGGGTTCTTGTATATGAGTACATGCCTAATGGTTCTCTAGAGGACCACCTTCTCGGTAAGTTTGGCATCTGAGTATAGATCTCTGAAACAAACTAACCGAAATTGTCCGAAAGTTGATCTCGAATTTTGAAAACAAAAGCATGTAGGTTGATTCCTGAATGCTTTTTTCTTGGACTTTTTCAGAACTGCCTCCGGGGAAGGCACCCTTGGATTGGAACACCAGGATGAAAATCGCTTCAGGAGCCGCAAAAGGGCTCGAGTACTTGCATGAGCAGGCCAATCCCCCCGTGATATACCGTGATTTCAAGGCATCCAACATACTACTAGACGAGGAATTCAACCCAAAGCTCTCCGATTTTGGGCTCGCGAAGCTAGGTCCCACAGGGGACAAGAGCCATGTGTCGACACGGGTCATGGGCACTTACGGTTACTGCGCACCTGAATATGCGCTGACGGGCCAATTGACAACAAAGTCCGATGTGTACAGCTTTGGGGTTGTTTTCCTGGAGATCATCACAGGAAGGAGAGTAATTGACAATACAAGGCCAACTGAAGAGCAGAACTTAGTTGCTTGGGTAGGTCTGAAAGGTTTTCAACCTTCTACTGAATAATTGGTCTCTCATACAACTCAAGCCTTTTCAAATTGATGGTAGCAATGCCTTATAAATTTTTTATAATCCGACTCTCATTTATTCATCGGGTTATAATTTTTGTCAGTCTATTAGAGAACTATCAGGATCAAAAAACATTTTCAAGCCTTGAACTGATGGAAATTACTTGATCTTGCTCTTAGGCACAACCTCTATTCAAGGACAGAAGGAAGTTCACATTAATGGCTGACCCGTTGCTTGAAGGGGCCTATCCGATAAAGGGTCTTTACCAGGCTCTTGCGGTCGCAGCTATGTGCCTTCAGGAGGAGGCGAGCACTCGGCCTCTGATCAGCGACGTTGTGACGGCTCTCGAGTATTTGGCAAACAGGAACAAGCAAGAGGAAAGTGTCGCCGAAGAGAACGGTGCCAAATGTGGTTTTCCTGGTGCAGGAACAGACGGAGCAGAAATTGAGAGCGTTAGTTAGAGGTGATGATGAGGGAAAATGCCTCTGGGGAGTCTGAAAAGAGAAGAAAGGAAATCGAATGGTTCGACTCAAACTCGTGTAAAACCTTCCATAACCATGCGAATGTCATCTCCTCTGATATCTTGTTCTGTTTTCTTGTCTCAAAAGTTGTGTGTTTCTGGTCAGATAAACTGACGTTTTCGATTATCTATGTGGATTCGAGTGGGAAAATCAGAAGTTGCAGAAGGAAGGATTGACTGAAATCCACTGGAAAATTTCAGAAGGCATGGGATTAAACTTGTCAACAGCCTGATTATCCATCCATAATCAATCACTTGCAGTTAATTTGGAAAAAAAATTAGGAGATTTATAACCCAAAATTAGGCAGTCATCATCACATCCTTCTTTTTGTCCAAAACTACAGTTTGAAAAACGTTGGAAGTGCACAAACGACAGCTTCCTTTTCTGGTGGGGCAACAAGGTACATCTTGTATTTAGGCATTGTTTTTTATTTTGTGCCGGTTGTTGGTACGTCGTTCTCGTTCTTGATAGCTTAGTTTGACTGTTGCCAAGCCGTCACGCTATAGTGCGATGCACCATTCGTGCAACACTCCGAAGGAAATTCGCAATTTACGATGATAACACTTCTCGACACTTTGGATATCGAAACGCTTTTCGAAAAAAACTATCTTTTCAAATAAAAGAGTTTACATTTTCAAAGCGTCAGCTGCCGATGAATTTTCTGAATTTCAAAACTTGTACTTTTTTATGATGTGTGCAATACTTAAAAAATCAACGAGACGCTTATATACTTCTTCGTTAAAATCGAAATCATTATAAATTTTTTGGTTTTTGATTTATTTTCAAGAGGCTTAGGGTCGGGTGTTTCGCATGAATTTCATCCAATTCAATCGTAACGGGTTTAAATTAGCCCTCTCCCTAAACTTTTAATTTATTAAGTATGGTTCCAAACTTTAACTTAATGTGCGATGTCAAGTTCAAACTATTAATTTATTTAATATTGTCCCTGATGTTCAATTTAGTCTCAGGACTATATGGAAATATTCGATATTATCCCTAAACTTGATTTGATCGAAAGATCGCATAAAATATTTTAATATAATTCAGAAACTAAGTAGAACATACACCAAAATTTTAAGGACTATATTAAATAAATTAAAAATTCAAGAATGACGGTACACACTAAATTAAAATTCACAAATCACATTAAATAAATTAAAAATTTATAAATCATATTGAGTTAAAATTTATGGACAATTTATGTCGTTATCCTCCCAATCCTAACCTTCAAGTCTTCGCAAAACATAAGAGAACCGACCAACCGGTCGACAGGGAATAATTGGAGTGCGTCGTTTCTAAGTTGGCCGGGCTCTTCAGAATCGCAAATAAGGACACGGAGATCGTCAGCGGCTGTTGGCGAGTCGATGCGAAGCTATCGTGTTGGTTTCTGCAAGGTGATGATGATGGCGACACTATCACTCGTGTGAAGATCTATCTCGGTGGAGCTTTTCCCTCGGGTATCTCTCTGTCCCTTTCGAAGGTTGCCGCGACGAGGAAAGAATGGGTCTTTGATTCGATTGTTTCGGCGTTATCTTGGTTGGATCTGCTCGGATTTGCTCGCTGTCGAACGCTCCTAGTCCTAGGTACTTGCTTAGTCTCAATGCGAATCATCTGCTCCGTGGTTACGGGGTTTGTTCGCACTGTGATTCTCTCGAGTTGAGGTTTTGACCTTTGGGCGAATCGGTTCCATGGACGGTTTGTTTGGTTTTTGCGAGTTGTCGATGTGCTCGGAGTTGCTCGGTCGTTGCTTCTTCGGACTGATTTCTCTCGTAGAATGCTTTGCTCTATATTCCAGTTTTGCTGTTATGGGAAAGCTTTGTTTTTTGAATGGAAATGGATTTGAGCTGAAATGGGTTGATTGCTTGGAGTTGGAGGTATCTTCACTGCAAGTCGCGCACTTTGTCTTGTGATTTCGTAATTAAAAGTTACATCTTTCGTGAGAAGTTTGAAACTTTCTTTTACCCCTTTTGCAGAATCTCTGTGGAAACATAGGATTTGAACTTCAAACTCGATGCACGTTCGTTCTGTTTAATGTTTACCAGCTTTGTCGACGGCTTTAGTTGCTTTTGCAATTTGCTTATGATAAATCTTGGTCGAGCCGTGCTTAATTTCGTTCCTGAACTGTCGGTCTTTGTCATTCACCTGTCTGGAATTTCGATACCATTATGACCTTATTGTGGACATGAATTTTCTTGCTGAGACTTAACATCAACAGGAGGTTTTGGTGCGTGTGCCGAGGTTAAGACGTCGTTTGAACTCGTTCACGCTGTTTTAAGATCTTTATGTAAACTTAAAATTGTTCTTATCTTAGACATGTACATTCAAGAATTTACATACTCCAAACTAGTGATACTACAGGAAATGTTTGCAACTGCTATTCTGATCAGTGATCTCTCCACTCCGTTGTCTTCAGAAACTCTTCTGCCGGAAGAATTACCTTAGACTGTGGATTGGACTGTTCAGCAACATGGTTCAGACGCTGGAAGCTATCAAAGGTGGTGGAGGATCCATCAGGATTGGAACCACTGGTACAATCAGTGCGCTAATGACGAGAGAATTGGAATCCATCAAGTCTGCTCCTAAGACGCCAATCTCTCCTAGAAATCGACCTCGGCCGCAAGTGGTTTCCATTTCCTGCAGGGCCACTACTCCTAAAAGACCACAACAAAGGAAGTCAATGGACGGAGCAAGCAGCAGCAACTGTGCTGATGAAAGAAGCCTGGAGGTTCCTCGGAAAACAAAAGGTCATGGCAGAACTAACACTGAACTCCCAATGCTCGCAGGCGATGATGTTGCTCTTGATGGAACTCCAGAGAGGAGGAAAACTGACAAAAAGGTAACTAACATTGTTGAGGTTGTGGATATAAGATGTGGCAACGCTGATAGAGCTTGGGCTGGCCCTATAACTAACCGGCTTAAGAAGCTGAGCTTCTCAAAGCTCTCTGAGAGTATTGTCTAGGCTTGGAGATTCATGTCCAATTTGAGGTTTCTGTAGTTGAAACTGGAAGTGCCAACAGGCCTTCTGTTGTCTGAAACCTCAATCATAGAACATATGCTTGGCACGAGCCTATTGCTGCTCCCTTTCCTTTTCTTTTTATGGGTCAAGAGTGAACCAAATGTAGGTTTGGCAGGATTGCTAGAGGAAGAAGCCATGTCTGTGACCTGAGGTCGAGGCTTCTCTGAATTCTCTCTACAGCTCAACTCGACCCTTCTGAAATACTCGATTTCCTGCATTATAAGGGATCCGACGGTGCCCTTTGTCCCTATTTCGACAGGAGCAGCCATTTCTTGAGGGATTTCTGTGTCGCTTGGTCTGGATTTATACATGTTCTCTATGCCGGGAGCTATGGAAGCTTGATAATGAAGAGAGGTGGTTTTGGGTCTTGTCTGGGTGGGAAGATTGCTTTCGATCTGGGGCACTGGGTGTTTTGGTCTCATAGCTAGTGTATTCACATGAATTCTGAACCTTAAGTTTTCTATCTGAGAGGGAACCCCTGTAGATTTTTACTACTTGGTGGATGGGATAGTGACATAAGGTCACTTTATACATGTGCTTGCAGTTAAAACCTTTTAAGGTGCTAACCAACTGTCGTATTTCTCTACCTGCTAAATGGTGCTCTTATTGTTTGCTTAAATTTGATAATGCTACCACAAGCATTAGGTCATTACGGGAAATGGAAGATAGTTTTTTCTGATTTGTTTCAAACGTACGTAGTTTTATGTTAATATGGTAAATGGAAGGAACTTCTGTCGAAATCTGGTAACTTGCTCTCCGCTAAACATTCCTAATTTTTTTGTTGTAAATTGCGATTTTCAGCTCGATTAACCATGGTAGTGCCTGGATTTACAGTACAGGTCGAAAATGACACTAGATGATGATTTGCGTGGCACTATATGCAGTCACTCTAGAATAGGCAGACCACCACATGCTAGATAATTAGGATGAAGGCGACTCTTTCTTGTCATTTTCAAATAAGCTGTGGTGTGCTTTTTCCACGACTTCAGTGCCAAGTGAAAACAACAGGACTTGAGTGGTTGATTTGGTGGAGCAACTTGAGTGCTTCACAGGGCATGGATGATGGATGATGGGTGTGGTTGCATTTGCTGGTTCTTTTCTCTATGTTCATGAGGAAACCATGACTGAAATTCCCTTTATGGATGCGGTGAAGGAGATGGGTTTCTCCCAGTTATTTTCACCTTCCCAGACCCTTTGTGAGCAAATGACCTTCAATGGCATTGAAGGGACCGATCCAGAATTTGGCGCTCGTGTACTTCGTAACTTCTCGGGTCATTTGGGTGAATCTGTATTGCCACAGCTAGGAAGAAAGATAAAATACGTGGCATTGACATTTGATCGCATCAAGACAACGTGTCTGTAGGCACGTAGTGTTGTGGGTCGTCACGTCTATGGCGACAGCTGTAGTCTTTTGTTGTCTTGTCGAGGCACACCGAAAGTCCCAGCAAAACCTTGTAGTTGTAAAAGGACTCTTCGTCTCAGCTATAAAATAATTCAGAGCCTTGTCGGGGTAGCTTCTGGTGTTAGGCTTTTAGCTATTGGTCTTTTGAGCTTCAATTATTGTTCTCGACTCTGAGCAAACTTTTGATTTTTGAAGTGCTCTGTATGTTTCCCAATTCCAAACTTTTGAAAATATGGTTGCTTTTGTTCGATCAACTTTAAATTTTCACTTTTAAGGAAAAAGAAATGTCTTGCTTAAATTTAAAAACTCGCCTTGGCCAGTTTTGACAATGCTTTTGCTTAGGCTTCGGGGTTTTAATCGAAATCTGTGGTTTTCTATAAGTTGGTGTTTATGAGTTACTAGCTATGTAGTAGTATAGTTTTGGTCGTTAGCTTAGTAGATTGGTTATTTTAATAATAAACATGCTTGGTAAAAAAAAAAACTACAAGGAAAAAATGAAAACATAAGAAATACTGCTTAGTATATGGATCAGCTGAAAATTCCACCCGGGCAGTGGATCGTACCACTTAACCCCCCTCATTGGTTCACCAATGTCTTCGCTCTTCGCGGTTAGCCCATAGGGTCCCTCGCAAGTGCCGAAGTTTATCTCGAAAGTGCAATCGGATTTTAAAACTTTTAAAAAGTGCAATCAAGTTCTTAATATTGTCAAATTGGCGAAATACTGACATGACTTTTTATATTAGTTTCTCGTGACACGTGATGCTGACGTGGCATTTTGTATTATTTTTTGGAGAGAGAGGTGCTGATATGGCATCTTCTTGTTCAGTCCAACGTCCTCCTCCTCCTTCATCCACCAACCCAATGCCATAAGTCACCCTCGTCCATCGCTGAAAGCTTCATCAAATGGGATCACAAGAGCCTTGGGCAATTGAAATTAAAGTATATTTGTGAGAGGTGTGGTGGGTTGCTGGGAGTTTTACCTTCCACATTTAGTAGCAAAAAAAAAAAAACAAAGGGACGAACGGCAAAAAGAACCAGCTGCAACGGGTAAATTGTGAGTTGCCCGGCGATATTATAACTTTAAAGCTAAATTTACACCTCAAAAGTAAGTCATCGTCTCCAAGCTAAGTTTACCCCTGGCTCGCTCTCTCTCACGCACAATCAGAATCATGGCGGGTTGTCATCGATCGCGGTGGTCGGTAGCAACCGTGGTCTGCGGCGACCGCCACAAGGCAGTCGCACCTCCCAATCGACAGCTCGGTCCGAGGTCACAATGGGGGTCCGGTTTGCTCAAGTCTAAGCTCTTGTTCGATTCACTTACCAACAATTATCTGTTTGTGAGAAAATTAGCAACTTTTGCAATTTAGAACACCCACATTTTCCCCCCTTCTTCTTTCAAATCCTGTTCCACAAACCTCTTTCTTGTTTCTTTCTTTTAAGATCATGCTATTTTAGTTTGTCCGTCATGTCGTCATATCAAGAGATTGCATTCTAAAATGGACCGTCTTAAATATCGTGGGGACAGTTGTCTACAAATGTCTCCAAGGTACTTGCTGATCATACCAAATATATAATCGATTTCATTTTCAATGCATGGACACTCCAACAGAATAAACGTGCATTGAAATTGACGTACATTCTTCACATAAGTGTTTCACAAGTTTCTTAAGGCATTCGTTAACGAAAACCATATTATTTATTCCGGTCTATTTCGCTAAAAGAAATAGCAACCTGATCATGATTGTTGCTCGCCTAATAGTTAATTAGTTCTCAGGCATACCCATAGAACTTTTGAGATGATATTGTATATTTTATTTTATTTATTTAGTGATATCATTCTATGGATAACATGATAACCATCATATGTAAAAGTATACGCTAAACACCATAACGATGATAGTCTTCCTAAATCATAGACACTTATTATAAATCAAATGAAGGGGTGGTTCTATATGCACAGAAAGAAAGTAAATAGTTGTTCGACAATGAGTCTTATATATAGTAAGGGTAATTTTGAAAAGCAAGTAGTGAGATAAATTGTGGTTTTGGCTTTAATATGCTGTACCATTAAGCGGACTGGGTTGCCTTGGAGCCAGATTGTTTTTTTTTTTTTGTTTTTTGGTAACCGAGGTGTCCGGGCCAGCTTGCGCGCACCTCAACTATTCCTCGGAGGAGACTAGCACAGCAACCCACCGCCATGGCCCCCACTTAAATCACAAGTGCTCAGCTGGAGAATCGAATCTGGGACCAGTGTGCCTAACCACACAATCCCAAGTATGCCCTAACCAACTGAGCTACCCATGGGTGGGTTTTTTTTGGTAAAACATTGAGAAAATTGCACTAAAAGTCCCAAACATTTTGCTCAATATGCAATCAAGTCCTAAGCATTTAAAAAAAATGTAATATAAGTTTTAAAAATTTTTTGAGACAGCAGCAATAATTTTAATAATTGCTTAGCCTATTTTGCTAATGTGGCTTACTAGAAACCCAACGTGTTTATTTTAATAGTTTTTGGCATATGTGACACTGACGCAATATTGATGTGTCCGTCTCATAAGAAAACTCAAAATCTGAAAACAACAAAAAATAAAATAAAAAACCAGAGAGCCAAAAAAATTTTAAATAATAAAAATTTGAGAAAAAACCAAAAAAGGAAAAATAGAATTGAAAGTTAGAGAGAGAAAGAGGGATCGTGAGCTTGAAGATGCCGCCCCCACATTGCCAACACCTCGCCGAGCGGGTGCTTGTGGCGAGGGCCCTCGACTGTGACCGGTGACGTGGGGGTAGCGATGCCAACTCCCAATCAACAATAGATCCCCGTCTATGGTCCGCCTTTCTGCCCCTCTCTTCATTTGATTTTTCTTGTCCTCTTTAGGTTTTGCCCTTTTTATTTTCTTTTATAAAAAAAAAATCCATCTTTTTTAATGCGACTCCACGTCAATGATACTTCAGCGCTCCATATGCTAAAAAATATTTAAAAAAACGCCACAACGAATTTCTACGTGCCACATTAGCAAAGTTTGGTTGAAACCGGTGTCTAGATCGACTCAATTGCATCAATTTAACACCCTTTAAATTTCGACTGCCCGTCTTCAAAATGTTTTAGACTTCGATTGCAAATGAACCAAACGTTATCAAGACCGTTGTTGCCATCTCCTCGAGAGCACGTACATTTCGGGCTGGGCGGGCCTGGATTTGGGCTTGATTGGGCCGACCCGGCTCCATTACCAAATCACACGTGGGGACCCGCCCGAATAGATTCGGGTTCATACGATCGTCTAGGTGCGAGTGGATAAAACTTGCAGGTGACACAGAGAGCTCAGCTTCCTTTCGTACTTCATAGCAATGGCTTCAGTATCATGCACTATCCATCACCTGCCCTTCACCACAAAACCTCCTCCTCCTCCTCCTCCTCCTCCTTCTTCTCCGCCTTCTTGTTTGATCTTGAATTCACGGTTTCTGGGTGCAAGAAGCAAGCTGGGTTGGGCACGACCCGTTAGGATTGGACCGTGCAACGGGTCGAGAGCCAGGTGCTGGTTCAAGTTCGGGAAGAATGGGGTTGATTCTGAAGGCGCCGGCATTTATGGGAGCCAGTCCCGTGATGATTTTGACAGAGATGACGTTGAGCAGGTAGGATCATCGGTTTTTTTTCATGTAAATTCTTTCTCTGTTTTCCGTGGAGTCGTGATGTAATTTGAGGAGGTTGAATTGTGGGATTCAATGACGATGTGAAGACGGTGCGAAAGTTTTGGTACTTTGGACTGCTTGGGTCACCGCATACTTTGTGCACACACATCAAGATTGGACGGTTTTTGAGGATGCAAGTAGCTTAAAGAGCGAAAAGGCAAGCACATGTAAGTAGCAAATGTAATGTTGTGAGTTATTTGGAGGTCCAGGAAATGGGGTGGAGTGAGCTTCAAGTGGTAAATGACAGCCTTATCTATTCCTACTGTTCGTGTATATTTGTCATGTTTCATTAGCAGTGGGAGTTTTTCTTCTAACCATGGACAGAGGGATAGGCTTTTTGCTCTGATTAGTGTTATGATTGTCAGCCTGTCGGATACAAATGAAACAAGGTTGAAGCAAAGTAGGAGTAGAGTAAATGATGTGTGATGCCATTGCTCTCAAGCTGTTTTACTTCATGCTTTTGCTACTATCTTTCTGAAAATCTTTCGGTCTTCGGTGCTTATTTTTTGGTTGGGTGTTATAGTGTGGAAACCAAGATGAATTCATAGGATTCCTAATCCTTGGACAGTTGAAATTCCGTTATTGTGGCTTTAGCTTAAGTAGTGAACGAAATGAGAAGGTAGAAATTATGTGGACGCCAAGCCCGGCAGCATTTGGGGAGGAGTCATTTGTGTCTGCGACCGATTTCCATTTCTGAGCAGAATTATGTTTGTGCAAATGAATGAAAGAGGCATTTGCAATGGTATTTGCAGTACTTCAACTACATGGGGATGCTTGCCGTCGAGGGAACATACGACAAGATGGAGGCTCTTTTAAGCCAAAACATCCATCCTGTAGATATCTTACTGCTGTTGGCGGCATCAGAAGGTGACAAGCCAAAGATTGAGGAGCTACTGAGGGCTGGGGCTGATTACAATGTCAAGGATGCCGATGGTCGGACTGCACTCGACAGGGCAGACGAAGAAATCAGGGACTTCATCCTTGGGTTTTCAGTTCAGAAGTCGTGATCGGACTAATTTCAGTGCGATTTTGCATGATTTGTCATATACATGTTGTGCATCATATTTCTATAGGCCATGTTTTTGGTGCAGATCTTCTCTTCTGGTTACCGTAGTAACCAGTACTGTATTGATCACTAGATCATCAGTCTTGTTACTCTTGTTATTCCCATAGTGGAAGATTACAGGGTCTTTGAGGAGGATTGTGGAAAGTGGTCACTCTGAACATCACCAAGTTGATAAAGAGTTTGGCAAAACGTTCCTTGCGTTTCAAGAAAAAAACGGAGGTTTCTTCTCACACTGTGTATGTTCACTCTCAGAGCTTGCTTAATTATACTTGATTACTTCTTGAATAATTAAAGATAATTAAATCAGGTGGTCAGATGGGACCCCTATTTGCTCATTTAGTTGCACTTATGCGCAACATCCTTAAGATTATAGGCATCCAGCAAATTCAGTGCTTGTGTTCATTTCAAAGCACTACACTGTCGACAATAGTGTCGGAAGAGAAGAGTCCACGGCAAATCTTTGCATTCAATCGGATGATATATGCCGGAATTGCTTCAGATATATCAAAAAAATCCGGATGACTATCATATGAACATGTTCCACGAGAGAAATCCAGGCGCGGTGTATTAAAGGCACGCCTACTTGAAATAGAGTTGGATAAGCTTCTTTAAAGTATCGAATATGCTCGTGAAAGGGTTGAATTGGATAGGGGACTGTAGCTCTAACTCTGGAAACTGGTTGGTCAAAGCTTGTTGCATCCCGGACATCGACATCATCGCGGCGAGCCGGCTATCTGACATGACTTCACAGTCTTGTGGTGTATCCTTGATCTTATTTGGGTCATAACCAAAGTTTGCTAAGTAACTCTTGTACTTCTCGATGAATTCAGGTCCAGGGTTGGGTGTCCTGGAATAGATCTGTAGAATCACAAAAATCATGAGATGTTCTCGCGTCCCTTTCTATAAAAAATTCCAGCCATTGGTCATTGCTCTCCATGTAAAATTTGCTATCCTAGATATGAAAGTTATCTTTCACTATCTTGACGAAAATGAGTCAGTTACCTGGATGAAGCTTCGGTCTTTCGCGCCAGAGACAAGAGAGAAAGTCTTATAATCAGTAGCTATGACATCGTATGGCTCCTTCGGGATGAATGGCAGCGTAGGAAAACGGAGATAACACTTCTCTTTGATCATTTCTTGCTTTTCTAAATCAGTTTGCTTTTGCTCCAATTCTTCCTCCGGAATGCATTGGACGTTTCCCCTTATGCCGGTTATGTATCCATCAGGTCCTCCGTGTACACAAAAGGTGTCGACCCGGATTGATGGTGCCGCCATGTCAAATGTGTATACTCCCTGTAATGTATCACAAAAATGTATTGTAGCGGCCACCATTGTCATTGCAACAACAATTTAAAGCAGACAAAAGAACCTTACGTATTTTTTCAAAAAAAATGGGTTCCTTCATAAGTCCATGTATACCAGTACGCCGCACATTTGATATTTGAACTCTAAACCCACATTACTAATCCACTCAAAGCTGAGCTGATATTAATGCAGCAATAAAAGAAGTAAGAACTACCAGAATTCTTTTCGATTTCATTTTCATCAAGCACAATAAGATTTTAGACATTACTCAGTCTAAGCTGTTCAAATAGGAACACGAATATTTTTTGGTCCGTCTGGTTCGATAAAAAGTTTTCAGTTTTCGTAGTTAGTGAAAATGAAAATCGTGTTCGGTTCATGAAATAGACAATATTTCTTAGGAATGAGAATTGTAAAAATATATATGGTTATGTCAGTTTCGTAATCAAAAGAAGTATAAAAATTGTGATATTCTTTTCTCATAAGGAGCATTCTTGTTAGGAGTTGACCTTATTTTCAGGGAGTATTCTTATTGTGAATGTTGACCAATGGCATCAGTTATAAAGGTGAGAAAATCATAGGAGAAGGGAAGATTACTAGAAAATGTTTACTTATAATGGATATTGTAGTTCATGAGTCTCCATCTTCAAGTAAGATATTGAGTTTTTGGGCAAAGATATATGTAACCAATTTTATGGTCAAACATTATAGTTTTAGATAAGCAGTAACTAATTTAATGGACGTAAATCCTACTTTGCAGACAAGGAGTAGATTTTGTGGATAAAGATTTCAAAAATTGATCCTTCGTTTAATATTCATAAAACAAGGAAAAATGAACACAAAATCTGAAAACATGTTTGGTGAAAACATGATTACCAAACATGTTTTCACAATATCTACCGTGACACAACCAAACATGTCTTCACAATTCTATTGTAAACTTCATTGCCATATGTTTTCGCAAACCAAGGACCCTGCAATTTCCTACAGCGAAACAAGCCCCTTATTCTTCGTTATATACAAACATGCATGCATTGAACAAGATTACTGTAGCACTTACTTGAGTGCAGTGGCAGTCTTCTTGGCCTTGTCCGGCAAATCCTCGTTTGAGAGATGCCACTTCAAACCATCTTCCTGAATATCTGATAGGGTCAAAATTATCAGCTGTCATACCTCGCATGACCATAAACTTCTGGCTTTCTTCACCAGACCCCTTATCAAATGGCAATGTCATTGCAGTCTCTGCAGCACTTGCAAGCTGGCATACATTGTGGTGATGCGAGAAATCATGTGCATAAACCTGCCTTGCAAATGCAAGTAAATATGAAACGGGAGATTTCCAATTGAAAGTTTTTCTAACTAAATGCAAATTGTGCAGTTCATTTCAACAGCAGACTATTACAAATTGAAAAGGAGATACAACTCAGACAACTTTTTCCTTTAATATGGTAAAAAAAATGAAGAAACCACTGGGGAATCATCTAATCCTCTGAAATTTGACTCCAAAATCTGATGTCTAAATAAAGAGCCCATAATTTGATCTGTCAATCAATCAATCCAATAAGCGTGAACATTATGACTGCGACACGCAACTTATAATGAACAGAAAAATTATTGCTGTTCGGCAATAGTTTTACATTGTCCCCGTCAAGCAATGGCAATATTTGACAGATTCACTTATCAGCTACACTAAGTGGAACACCTGATCAGTGGGGAGGAGAAACATCAGCGAAGCAGCAATCCCAGTCATTATACTTCCAGTCGCCAGTTTACTTGTAAAAGATTGGTCACTAGAGCATTTCAGGCTTTGTTTCCCCAGCATCACCCTGCATGGGCAGGAGAATTGCGGATAATTCTAAATCAACCAACCGGAGAGTGGAGACTGCATGACATATGAAACAGGGCCGACTTCCTAAAAACCTTACTCAGCCTCCATTATGAACTCCAACAGTTCTACGACTACAAAAGCTTATGTTAATACAAGCTGAAGCAAAACTCAAGCATCCAAAATGACCATCCAAAAGCTGGGTCTCTCTCAAAACCAAACAACAGATTGCTAGAACCTTTGACTTCAGTGTGAAGGGCTGTTTACTTATGGCTTCAAAGACAGATGAGATTAGAGCAAATTTTGTGTGTGGACATATCGGAATATCTCGAAAAAGAACAATCTGAACAATGACTCGAGCCCCAAGAGACATGTTCATCAGATATGCTAAGAAGAGAATAGCCTACAAATGGATATACAAGGTTGCGTGGAGGACTCGATTTGGGTGTTGATTGTAGCCCAATTGTTCAAATTCCACTCGCAGACCGATACATTACTCTCAATATACCAATTTAGCACGCCAGCATGAGTATATACCTAGCATAACTCAACCAACAGATCATGCTCAATCATCAACCACATTCAAGTTTAACAAAGTTTGAGTGCCCACTGCAAATGATACCATGTTGGAGAAGACAATACATGCAAACAAACCCAGGAATTCCTCCGGCGCAAACTAATAAGAGACCCAATTCGCAGAGCAATCATTGCATTGGATAGAAGATCGCCAACATCAAACATGAGCAAGCCTCTAACAAAATGGATACAATTGAAAGCAGAAGATAGCATTTTGGAGAGTGTTGGGACCTGGGTATTGGCGGAGGAGCCCGTAGCTGAAGAAGAAATTGAGATGCCTGCACATGCGCCATCTCTCTCTCTCTCTCTCTCTCTCTCTGAGCGAGCGTGAGCAATGAGCATATACTGTACAAGTCCCTTCACAAGCCGTTGAGCTGCTTCTCAGACAGGGTCGTTGGAAATATCTGGAAGGAGACGACGTCGTTTGCATGGTGAGATGTGGTGAGAGATGTGTTTGGCTCTTCAATGGTTGTGTCTCTCCTTGTAAAGATTCGGGTTTACTTGCATGTCATTTGGTGAGATTGGATGTATATGCATCAGGGTCTGAAATCATTTTCTTCATGTTCTGATCAAACCTTTGGTGTCCGATTTTATAGATAAGCTATTAACTCTTCTCGAGATATGACATTTCTTGTCCCATCACAATTGAATAATTATCCAAAATCAAGATGGAAGAATCTCAGAACGCGAGCTAGTGTTTCAACTCAAGCACAAGCACAAGATCACTCTTTCCAATCTTGTACAACTTCGCTTTCGTGCAAAATTATTGCAAAAAGTGGAAAGTGCATAGTTAATATGTTCCTTTTCTTTTCCGTCTATCTCCTTGCCTCACAATGCTTTCGTTCTAAGTACGATATTAGTGTGCCAAGCAGAATCTTCTTGGAAATGATTCACTCACTTATTTTATTTCACTATTTTAAAAAAAGAAAAGAAAAATTTCAAGCATTATAAGATAAGACTTGTTCGGATTCATTCGATCATACTCTCGATCCAAGCCTCCCAAACCGAGTTTCATAATTGGGCCAAACTGCAACAAGGTCGAATCATGTTATATTATCGATTATTGACGCGGGTTTGATTGCATGCCGCCACTCGGGTTAAATGAAATTTATGCATCCACAATGTCTGAATGAATTTTTAAATATGCAAAAAGCTAGCCCAAGATCGTATAATGTTCAACAAGAGGCCTCAGTATGTTCCCCAAATTCCTATTTTGCCCCTTGTTTTTGAAAATCTCTCTTTTTTTTCCGGCTTGATTAGCTTGGAAATTAGCGAAGGAGACACGGAAAGGGGGACAGGCCAAAAGGAAAGAAGGGAAGCAAGAAACAAGAGGAGGAGGGTGAAAGGAGGAACTACTGTGGATGAACGCGTCATGTGAGCTTCATTCTTATCTTCTTCCATAAAGCCTAGTGGGGGTTCTTATTCTCTCTAAACTGTTATTAAAGCATCAATGTTTTTGTATACATGTCTCCTAGCTAAAACCAAC